GTTCCAAAAGCAACCGGGATTCTGGTAGCAGCTGCAAGGGTCATTAGCCATCTTCATTGATTTGTGCAGTTGGTTTGGAGGTGGTGATTCTTATACTGTACTGAGAAGCCGTTTTTGTGCTAAATGTGACTTTTTAATATCAAATGATATTTCAATATAAACACATTGGCTATTAGAACATACTAGTGGAAATCTACATAAACTAATGCTAAGTATGGAAAGCATGATGGGAATCGTAATCTATGGACCACTAATAAACTGGGCTGAGGCTTCAATGCGGGCCAGTATCTACATCCAGCTGCTCACTCAAGCTCTCCTTTTGGGTAAGTAAAAGGCATCTCAAAAATCAAGTCAAACTGGGTTCCTGACATAATCCCTGCTCTTCTAAAGTACCCTCCCCACTCGTTAGATGCTAACTCCACACTGAAGCCAGCTTTGATGTCATCCTCTTTCTTTTTATGCTCACATTCAGTTGATCAGCAAATCCCATCAGCTTTACTTTTAAATGTGTGCCCATCACCTCACCACTTATTTCCAGTGTAGTCCAAACTGCCATCATCTTTTGTCTGTTTTATTCCAATAAAGATAATATTAACAAATAGGTGACAGTGTAATATGTGCCAGGCATGGTTCTATGTATTTTATATATAATACTTCGATTCATTCTCACACCAACCCTATGAAGTAGGTACTACTGTCCCTAATTTGTAGATGAGGGGACTGAGGCACAGTTTCTTGAAAATGGCAGAACTGGTGTCCTGGCTCCACTATTGTCTGACTCCACCATCAGCACCTGTTCTCAGCACAGCAGCTGTCATTTAAGTCCCATCAAGTCAGTCCTATACCCCAAACCTTCCAATGGCTTCCTATGTCACCTAGGAAAAAGCCAAGCCCCAAGGAAGGCCCACAGCATCCTAAATGACCGCATCTCCCACGGCTCCTCCCCTTCACTTGACCTCACCAGCCATAGCACTGGTCCCTCATTGTTCTGGAACATTCCAGGTATGCTCTGATTCAGGCCCACGCACAGAAATCCGCATCGCCCCCGTCCTCTGATCATCCAGGTCTTGACTCAAAGGTCACCTTCTCACTGAACTCAGCCCTGTTTACTATTTAAATTTGCACCTCTCCTCACCCCAGAATTTCCAATCTACTCTTCCGGATCTGTTTTTCTCCTTAGCAATCACCATTTTCTAACACACTATGTGTTTTACTTCTCTGTTTTATAATCTTTCTCCTCCTACCAACTACCAAAGGCCACTGATTTTTGTCTTCATTGCTGTGTCCAGCAATAGGGTCTGGCACATAGTACATGTTTAATACATACCCGTTGAATTAATGAATAAATATATAAGATAAAATAATTATGTGGCTTGAAAAATTATGTATATAAGTGTTTAGCTTTACAGGTGAAGCTTTGTAAAGAATGTATGTGTATTTGTGATGGTTATAAAATGGACCAGTGGCTTATATACATTCCATTTAGTCAGGACACAGCGTAATCCCTTCTCTGCCAATCACACTGATCTTTAACTCAGAATTTATACTTTAACCTTTATATTCTACCTTATTCCTGCTTCTCTCCAAGACTACAGACCATTTTTTTGTCCTCGTTCTTTCTTCAGAGCTTCTTTCATTTCAATATTAATCTGATTTTGATGTATAAAAAGACTGGTGCATTGGGTTTCACCCAAGGCAATTTATATTAGAAGCTCTTCACACCCTAGGCCTGGCCCATGTAATCTATAAATTGGATGCTCATCTCTTAAATAATCAGGAAATAACTATAGTTTGAATTTACCTTCTCCTAGGAGGATTCTGAAAATCTGATCTATTTAATCCCAATTTTCCACTGCTATCACGTTTTTTCTCTAGTATTCCACATCTTTGGGTATTGTAGCTGCATTGTAACTACTTCAACGTCCTATTTCCTAGCCAGGATGTGGCTTCCACTAGCACGATTTTCTTTACAATATACTCAAAGTAAAATTGTACAGAATATTTGGATGTAGGTTTTCATTTTCAAAGGCTAATGTACAAATTTGCTTTATTTTATAAGCTTGCAACATCGTTGTATGATAAAAATATCCCACACATTTGAATTTCAGGCTTGTTACAACTCTAAGAAATCTTACATTCAGATGGTGTAAGAGATCAACAGAACAAATCACAGTAGGACTACTCTTGCTTTTGCTTAAATATGTCTACATGCCACTTAAAGGTTAGACTTTTAGCTTCAATGTTTACTCATTTATTTATGTCTTATTCATAAAGCAACTCATCATAAAACAACTCATAAAGATCAGCTTTCTATACTACACCTAATGGTCTTTTGAAGTAAAATTAAACTAAGCTACAACACAATTCCCTAAAGTCTGCAAATGTTTTAATTTACTGGAGTTATTGTAAGAGACTCTTGTCACATATCAACGCATCTTAATGGCAGACAGGTTTGTATTAAATCCACTTCCGTTTGCGTTTTAACGCCATATTAAGTGAAGAAATTTGATTGCTACTCACTTTTCCCCCCTACTGTCTGCAATTTAAAATCCAAAAATATAAACTGCTAACTAAAAGTTTTAGAAGTTGTATCTAATTCTTTACATTAACTAATGCTATCCATCAAAATTTTTGTTTATATCAAAATATAACATCCTATATAACATGATGATTAAGGTGTTACCTGAGAAAACAATTTTAAAGTGACTCTATTTTTATTAAAAATTTAACCCCGGACTTCTTTTTTAAAAATACTGTTTTTACTATATGCAATATTTAGAAATTATTTAACTATGCACAACCCAAAAAATGAAAAGAAACTGAGATCAAATTGGCATGAAATGATGGATAACTCTAAGGTTTTTAGCCTGAAGAATGAGAGGATGGTGTACTGGATGCTCTGATACACTGCATAGATCCCTCTGCTGGACTGACTGATTTTGTTTCTTCAGCTGTAGGATGTGTTGCCAGCAGACAGCCCTCAAACCCCAGGCTCCTCTGGAAATTGACTTCACAAAAGCAGGGAGAAGCCAAAAGTCTAGAGCTGAGCTGTCTATTGTGATGGCTACTAGCCACATATGGCTATTTAAAATAAAATAAAATATAAAATTAAAAATTCCTTAATTGCATTACCTACATTTCAATTTCTCGGTATCAACATGTGGTTAGTGGCTACCGCATTGGACAGTGCAGATTTTATAGAACATTTCCATCACTGCAGAAAGTTCTATTAGATGGTGCTGGAATAGAGCCGCAGGTACCCACCACATTATTGCTGGCTAAAAATTATAATTTGTTGTTTAATGGATCATTTAGGACTCCTTTAGTTGCAGGTAACCAAAACCAATTCTAGCTAACAAATAAAAATGGAGGGTTTTATTTTAAAGATATAGTGATAACTCTGTTCAAGGGAGAAATGGGGCCAAGTTTTGGGAAGGCGTTGCAATCTGGAAATGCTCTCTTGTGTTTCAATCTCTGCCTTGTTTCCTTACTTCATTCTTCCATTTTTCATGTAATTAATCCCACAGCTCAGTAACTGACCTTTTGCAGTTTCCAGGAAAAGGACATGACTGACCCTTATCAGGTGATGTGACTACCCTTGGTCATATTAGCTAAGTTTGGATATGGGAGAAATAGACTGTGGGAGGTTGGTTTAGACATAACCTGCCTAAAACACATCCCAGTGAATTGATGCCTCTAGAAGGAAGGTCACTGTGAACTGGAAAGATAACCTTTACCAATGACTATAATTTGAAATAACTTCTGTCCATCAGCATCCTTCTAATGCATTTTACTCTGTCTCTATAGCTTTTGTTTTTAATTCCTGATTTGAGGTACCAGAGTGATTTGGCTGTGATATGTATTACCCTATGTGGGTCAGGGACCCCTAGAGAACTAACGTAGTTTTATAAAGGGGTTACACACAAAGATGTGGGCTGAGCGTAGGGAAACTACAAGGGATACTGGGGCACTTTAGGGCCGGTAACAGAGGGGGTTATAGCATCATTCTATAGGCTTGAAAAGGCAAAAAAAGGAAGCAGATTTCCAACCCTGGAGACAGAGAGGGCCATGGGAGGAGTGCTGATCTGTGACAAAGAATTGCACCACCCACAGGAACCCAGAGACCAGGAAAATGGAATACCTCAACTTTACTCAGTCCTCTATTTCTGATCTGGTAAGCACTTCTCATTAGCTGACTTCAACTCTAAGTCAGAAGGCAAGGGAGCTTCTTGATGATCTCCATACCAATTAGCCTCCTCAGGGACTAAGGTTAAAAAAAAAGGCTAAAGAGAAATCTAAACTACCTCAAATTCAACATGTTTAGAACCAAACTCATGACCTTCCCAGAAAACTTGGTCTTCATCCCATATTTCTTTTCTCATACTCTTCTTATAATTAGATAAGTAAGAAACCAGGAATAAACTTTAGCGTTTTCTTGGTAACTCTTCATCCAACCCATTACCAATTCATATCAATTTCTGACAATAACTTCTATTTATCTTCATCAATACTCTAGTCAAAGCTGCAATCAGCATTCATCCCGGTCTACCTGCAATAGCTCATAATTTGTATGTTTATTCTGTCCTGCTCACAATCCAATCTTCATTCTAAAACCAGGGGGCTCCTTTAAAAACAAAAACTAATCATATCAGGCAAATACACGCTCTCGTCCTTAATATCACTTAAAAAAATCAATGGTTTTCCATTGCTTCAGTGAGTTTTCATTGCTTATTGCATTAAAGAAAATCCCCTTAATACAGGCAACAGGGTCCTGCCTGTTCTGGTCCTTGCCTACATTTTCGGCTGTGTCTCTCTCCCGACAGGGCCACTCTCCAACCAGCCACATGGACTGTGCTCTCCTTGGCCACAGGGTTTTTGCACCTGCTAGTCCCCCTGTCCAGGATATTTTTTTCCTCCTTTTTATTTTAAGGAAATCTTCTTAGATCTACATGACATAATCACATACCTCTATATGCTGGAGTTCACATTTGTAATCTTACCTTCATTTCAGAGTTGGCTGTGTGAGGGCGGAGACTGGGTCCAATGCATCTTTGGCAATTTTCACTTAATAGGAACTCCTTGTGCTTCAGTTGCTTCACCTATAAAGCAAGGAAAATAACGTGTACTTCACAGGGTTTCTTTAACTATTAAATGAGACATATCAACTTCTTAGGACAGTACCTGAATCATACAGAAACAGCTGTTGAATGGTAGCTACTGTTATTGTGCCTCTTGTTTTCTAACCCCGATTCTCCAGGGCTCTGCAGTTCATAAACAGTGGTTGCTCTACGTATATCAAGAAGATTGGAAGATTGAGTAGCTTTCTAACTTAGATGCCAGATGAGGCATCCTTAAATTAGCCTTTCACAGCTGGACTGAAAGTCTGAGTCCACGCATCACATCTAATCGTACAGCTCTTCCAAGCTCTTGCCTTGGTTTGCTTTCTAAGTACTATTTAGTAGCACGTGCATTTTCCCTAGAGGCTGGCAGGGAGGGATTCAACTGAAGCGTGAAACTTTAAATCAACATTTTGTTTCTTAATGGGAAATTCTTCACTGCTGTTTAAAGGTCCTCTTAACTGACAAACATAACATGCCATTTCAGGGTATCAATGACCAACCCTGCAGATAATAAATCATGAATGACATTTTCAACCTCAGTAATCATGCCTTTTGTTTGCAGCTTCTTGATGTTTCAAACTCAAGCTGAGCCATTTGAGGAGTGAATTAAAAAGAATGTTACAAATTTGTAACAGTTTACTGGGAAGGGAAAATCGCTTTGGAAAGTGGAGGGCCTCACAGCCCAGTATAGCTGATGGCAGGAAAAATAAAACAACAACACAGGCAACATGTTGAGCTGTGTAGAAGATATTGTTGATTTCCTGCTTGGATCCCCTTTGCCAGAGGGGTGTACCCATCTCCAAATTGCTAGGATTGTTGGGAGCTCACAGCTCACAGCTATACCCTTCTTGGGAGAACTTCCCAGGTCCCAACAGGACTCACCTCACCTAGAAATGCCTGACAGACAGTAACCTTCTTCCCTCCCTGAGGGCCCACAGCCAATGACTGACTGGCTATTACAGTGGCATAAAAAACCCAATCGTCTTCTCAAGCTGGGACAACTTTGTGGTGCTACTTAGGCTCCAGAGTTCCCTATGGGATCAGGCTGAGTTGAGTCAGCACCTAAAACCACATCTTAACTTTTCACTCTGCCCTATCCTGCTTCCTTCACATCCTTAGAAGTTTCTCCTGAGAGCACCCCCTTAATAAGTCAGAATCTGTCTCAGATACCACATCAAGAAAATCTGACCTAAGTCCACTGTGATCACTTCAATCCACCACTCAAGCAGATCTAAGTGTAGAGACTAGAAGATCTAAGGTTCACATTGGAGCGTTTTGGAAGGAGCCACGACAAACACAAGCGAAAAAGCAGAAGGTAGAGTCTTAGTCTGCATGAAGCAACGATCTACTGATATTGAGTCTGCGTGATCTGGCCTCTGGTGACATGAACCAGAAAATCTCTTTGAACTCTAAGATCTAAAAATCCATACTGTCTAGCAGAGGACTGACTGGCTGAAGGAAAATCCAGCTAAAGCTATTTTTGGTTGTTCAGACCTTCTGTGCTTAGACTGGAGAAATAGCAAGGCCTCTTGAGGAATAAAACAAGTAAGAAGACTATAAAGACTGTCTCAGCAAAAGGGATTTTCCCAGATTGAATCAGCAAAAAATGATCATTCAAAAAATCTGGCAGATATGAAGAAGGCCTTGTAAAAGAGTACCAATAGCTTTCAGAATACATAAAATACAGCAGGTGAAAAAAATCAATGGAGAGTTATTTTTCAGGGCTTCCCTGGTGGTGCAGTGGTTAAGAATCTGCCTGCCAATGCAGGGGACATGGGTTCAAGATCTGGTCCGGGAAGATCCCACATGCCTCGTAGCAACTAAGCCTGTGCACCACAACTACTGAGCCTGTGCTCTACAGCCCATGAGCCACAACTACTGAAGCCCGCGTGCAACAAGAGAAGCCACCACAATGAGAGGCCTGTGAACCACAATGAAGAGTAGCCCCCACTCGCCGCAACGAGAGAAAGCCTGCGCGCAGCAATGAAGACCCAACGCAGCCAAAAATAAATTAATTAATAAAAAAATAAAATAAAATAAAGTGATATAGATCTAACATAATTAAATTATCCATTTAAAAAAAAAGAGTTATTTTTCAGGTCTTTGTGTTGGTAGATGTTTAAAGATTCTGTTGCTATGATGATGCCTCTGAGCAACTTTTAATGAAAACAAACATCTTTCCCCAGCTGTGTTTTGAAGCACATTTTTCATGTGTTTGAGCATATTATAATCCATTTAACATAGCTTTTAATTTTTTTTTGAAATGATGATTGTCAACTGCTGAATATTTTTCTGTTGTTTGTTATTCCAGTTATTCCTGGTGTCTTGAACGTAGAGAAATTTAAAACTAACTTTGCAAAAAGTGGTATCTCTTGCCCTAAAGGCAGAAGTAACAAAAAAAAAAACAAAAACCAAGCCTTATCCCCAGAACACAACTACCCTGAATTAGGAGGTGGAAAAACTAACAAAAGTTGCTAACCACACGGGAAACATTTTCTGTGTAGAGGAAAAACTGGTAAAGGGTATTTTCAAATTCAAATTCAAAGACGGAGAAATGCAGGTTATAAAAATCAGTATGGCACTTAGGATAGCAGTAATTAAACAACTATATTTAATGATTTGTTAAATATTTAATCAGCCTGGAATCCTCCATGCCCAGGACTTTTAGTGGCCGATTCACAATTTTATTATACAGATCTCTCAGCGTATAAGTTGTCTCTTCCAGGAGGCCTCTCCTGAGTCCCAGTCTGCATGGCCATTCAGTCATGCTCTGTAACACCATTCTGTTCTATCTCCCTGCACAGTTCCACTCCAGAAACCATCCATCTGTTTATCTCCCTAATGATCAGCTTGGTTACTTTCCATCCCTTTCTTGTAGTTGTTTCCACCTCCTGTCTAGAACAGAGTTGGCTCTTGGTAGGTATTCACCAAGTGCTCATTAGTTGAATACATGGAGAAATATCCCCCACTAGACTCATAGTTCATAGTTCCAATAAAAGAAAAGATTAGGTCTCTTTTGTTCAATGCCTTGATTGTATCCTCAGTGCCTGGAATGAAGTAGGTGCTCAATAAACATCTGTTGAATACACAAATTCTCCTGGACACTGAGGATAGAGTGGAAAGCAAATAAGAAGTCCCTGGCCCTGCGGCTATTGTTAAATCAATAAACAATACTTGGAGTGGCTCATGTTTAGAACGAATGGGCCTCCACCCTGGAGTGAGACTTAAATCTGTTTAGCTGTGAATGGCTTAAAGACTGAGTATGCACATTGTAAATACTATTTAGGGATATTTGATATCAATTTGTATTTTCTTCTCACAAGAATCTGGGATAAGAAAATGTTCTCTGTTCTCATGTGATCAGACCAAGTCTAGTCTCTTCTGAAAGTCTACTTTGTAGACCGTGCCTGACCCCTCTTCCATGTCACCTGCACTGGGGCTGGCTGATTCCATTTTTCAGGAATATATTATTACATGCTGCTTTTTATAGACCTTATTACTTCACTTGCTCAAGAGTTCACTTTAGCTTCAATTTTTATCAGTTGGTATCTATGAAAGTTTTGTTTCTTCCAACAACATGTTGTGAAATTCCAGAGTAATCGCTAATCCAATGGGGTGACCTTGGTCCCTTTGCTTGGATCTATAGACACTGCTTTCGCCAGAGTAATTAGTTGTCTCCAATGGTTGTTTTCTTTTTGCTCAAAGAATGGAGAACAATTCAACTCATTTTTACTAGTAAATTCAATTTTCTATAAGCGTCCTTTCTGAAAGTAGATTTTCCCATTATTCAGCTCCACGACACTTCTCTTAGACCACCATTGTGTCCCCTGGACAGGAGGAGTCTAATCTGTTCAGCCATTCCATGCCTGATAGCAGGCCAGCTTCTCAGGCCCACCATGTGTGCTGTCTTGAAGGCTTCCCTCACTCTCACCCCATCTGTACTGCCCTGGCCTCTGGCTCCTCCTGATCTTCTCGTTCTTGTATAGAAGCTTAATATCTAATGACCCTCTTACCATATTCCTTAATATTTGTGATTTCATGGCTGCTAAATCTCTGATATTTGTATAACATTCTTGGAATAACACAATTTTAGTCTTGGAGGTAATAGTATTGGAAGGCATATTAGTGGTTTCTAGGGGTTGGGAACTGGGGCAGGAGAAAGATGGCAGTGGTTAAAAAAGGAAAACACAAGGGATCTTTGTGATGTTGGATCTGTCCAGTATTTTGACTGTGTGATGGATACACAAAACTACACACACGGTAAAATTGTATAGAACTAAATACAAGGAGATGCACACACAAATAAGTAAGTAAGATTAAGAATATGTGATAAGACCAGTGGATTATATCAATGTCCATATCCTGGTTGTGATATTATAGCATAGTTTTACAAAATATTACTAGTGGGGACACTGGATAAAGTGTACATGCAGTCTCCTTATATTATTTCTTAGAGTTGCACATGAATCTGCAATTATCTGAATAAATCTTTCAATTAAAAATGAATTGGAAATGAAATATAAAGATGTATGGCGGGAGAAGAACGAAGTGGAAGGGAAGAAGAGGGGAAGAGGGAGGAGGAGGGAGGGGAAGAAGTTAGTGGAGGTGAGAATACAGAAGAGCAGGTGAGGGAGGGGAAGAAGTTAGTGGAGGTGAGAATACAGAAAAGCAGGTGAAAGAAGAGAGAGAAAGGAGGAGAATAAGGAAAGGGGCCGGGGAGGGAGAGGAAAGAGAGGTGAGAAAAGAGGTGGGCAGAGAAGGGAAGGAGGAAGGAGGGGGGAATGAGGAGACCTGGAAGAGGAGGAGAAGCAACTAGCCTTGAGGATCTCTGCTTACTGTAGATGGCAAAGGGGAAACCTCCCGACTCAGCAGAGACCCTGACTGCCTAATGCCATCACCATTCAGTAAATACCCATTGGGGGACATGGAGCATCCCTCAAGTTTAGGAATGAGATCTCCTTTCCCACAGCTGAGCATGT